CTGCGATACTGAGTAGTGAAAGTTCAACCAGGTGTGCCAGCATTTTCTCAGATTGCAGATATCAATCAACACTTTCTCTTAACGATGCTTACTTCCATCTAAGCAGATTTTTACTGACGTGATCATCTGCACACGAGTGCCATTTACCTACTGCTGCCTCAGAAGTTTTGCTATTGTTCCACTCACGCTGGCACGCCTGCTTGCCTGCTTGTCCCAAAACAGTCCTCACATGCCAACGCTTGCTCTCTTGCTAGTGTTCCTATTGTGTCGCCGCGCGTGCTCACGATGTCGCTGCTCCGCGTGTCGACACCTGCGTGATTGGCTGCGTACCTGCCCATGTGCACTGGGCCTTGCTGTTGTTGTCCCCCTTCTGTCACGCTGTCGCCTTGGGCATGTGGACTGGTGGTACTTCACTCTGCTCTGCTGCCAGTCCAACTCCCCCAAATCTTTTCATCCTCAGTCCTCGAATCCACCCCCGCTCTTCGACAACATCTTCTGCCAGTCCAACCTCCTCAAACCTGTTCATCCTCAGTCCTCGAATCTACCCCCGCTCTTCGACAACATCCTCTGTCATCAAGGTAAGTTCTTAGCGTTGCTGATACTGTTTCCCAGCCCCCCAATCCGTATGCTTGCCTTCTTCGCTGGGCTTTCGTCGCTTGGAATGGAGAGCTTTGTCTGCTGGCTTATCGTCAGCTTTTGCGCCTTTCCTGCTTGGTCTTGTGAAGAGTTTTACAACCGCTTGCGCGTAGTTGCTGCGGATACTCGATTCTTCTGCCTGGGCTTTGCTCACGGTTGACTTGTCCCTCGCGCCAGAACGTTTCCTCTTCCCCCTCACTCTTACCGCTTTTGACCTGCTTGCGCTTGGATTTGAGCATTTGTGCTAACGTTCGTGGTAGATTTCCGTGCTCACCCATCATTCTCCATTTATCCACGTCAAGACCTTGTCCCTCCACGCCTTCTTCTCCGATACACTCAATCATTCATCTCTCGGGTCATCGAACTCCAGCTGCCCTCGAACCTCTCTACCCGGGTCCACAAGCTTTCCTCGCACTTCCGTCAGGTGTAAGCCGCTCTTGATCTTGGTTCGCGCAAGAGAGCAAGCCTATTCATCCCTTTCCACACTTTCCGGCTCGCAGGTATGTTCCCCTGCTCATGCTGTGACCTTGCAATCATACTAATGGTGCTGCAGCATGGCGGGAAAGCGACCCGATACGTCACCTGAGCAGAGGAGAATCCCTCCATCTGAAGACTCAGAGAGGCGCATCCGTACGGCAAACACAGAGCCCACTGGCCAGCCTCCGAGCCTTGACTCACTCCGCAAAACGGTCTTCAACTTTCTTGATCAAGCGGCTGCAAGAGGAGCGAATTCCTGTAAAAGACATAACACCGCAGATGCTGCGGTTTGCTCTTCCCGAAGCTGTCGACATTCGATGGGTCAGGCTCATGAACAACCCCATGTTCCTCTCCGACGTTAACATGGCGGCTATTCTCCGTCTGAAGCAATCCACAAGCAGCAGCCGCCCGCCCGCGCAAGGGACGTCGATCTACTATGTCAGGTCGTTCCAAATGACCATCAATCAGCTGCTACATGTGATCGCTTTGTGGGACCGGGACAGGAAGTACTTCTCGGAAGCTTTCGCCTGGAAAGTGGCCATGGAGGCGGAGGCAAACGTTGAGCAGCCCGTCTGGGTCCGCTACATCGGCGCGAGCCAGTCTGTCTCTGCCTGGAACAGGCACATGGACGACTTGGAGCAGCGCACAGATGCCGTCTACGGCGCATTCCTGGACACACTGACGGAATACTTCCCCAAGGTCGCGGTTACCGCCAAAGTTTTTGAATTCTCCCAAGTCGAAGCGCAACCTTTTAAGTTGCCAAATGGCCAACTTCTAAGGCTGCCGTATACCGAAACTGACCTGAGAGAGTCCACCATGATCGCTTTATTCCACAAGCCGACTCTGCTGAACCGCCATGCCGGCGGTATCTTCGCCCACTACTCCCCACCACAAAAGGACGTTGAGCTATGCCAAAAGCTCGGCCTAAAAACATTCCGAAGACTTGATGACGGGAACCTTCGCTCGAGATCGAAGCACCCTGACTCGCAACCGCCGAGGTCTCTTCGAGAGCCGGTCAAGAGTTGGATGGCCAAGGTGGTCAAGTTCGCAAGGGACAACAGCGAAAAGCTGGGGACCGACACGGTTCCAATCACGGACGAGGCACAACAGACCTGGACCGACCAGGCAGTGCCCGCAACCTACTACGGTCAAGTGGTTTTGATCATGCTCGGAGAATATCCGCCGTTAGCGACTCTGAGGAAGCCTGTCACCCTCTGGAACGATTCCTGCCGCGCCATTCGCCTTCTCAAGGATTTTCTTTCTCGCATCCGAGCCACAGAAATGGGCTCGGATAGTTGGCACCCATCTGGGCTTGATACAATCTGTCGAAGCGGAGGCCTACCATGGGTCAATTTGCACTACTGGCCGCGCCGGAACGTGCTACGCAACGAGACCCGAGACCTCGTGCGTCAGTACTTCTCCATTACACGACCAATTCTGGCTTTGACCTTTGAGGCCGTCAACTGTGGCTTTGTGCGCCGCAATTTTGTGGTCTTCCCCGATGTGACAAGTATGGAATTCCTCAAATATATCGGGGAGTTCACAATCCAGTTCCACACAGATCCTGGTCAGCTCAGTGGCCAGGGGACCAAGGCAGTCAAGGGCGCGAATCCGATCAACCCCGATGACGCTTTCATTCAGATGCCGTCTTTCCATCCTGGAGCAGACAGGTTCCGCGCCCACGGAAATGAATGGCGCCGTGTCTTCAACCTCAACCTGTTGAAAGTCTCCTTGGCCGTGGACTGTACATTTGATCTGTTGGAGCGGAACTACCTCGAAAAGCGCGAGCAATCGAGGATTCTCTTTTGCCAGGAGCTGCTCGCTCGAATCAACTCGTATTGGATCTCTACTGGCGGACAGAACGAGCTCCAAGCTGCCAAGGACGACTTGACCAGAGCAGTACAAACGGCGCAAGATGAGCAGAGGAAGAAAGGAAGAGAGTGGGTGAAGCAGACCCAGGGTCTGGAAGTTAATATGACTGCAAGAGGCGAAATGAGCCTCTACTGGGAAAACCCCGACGGGACCCACGAACGAGTCTGCCTCAAGGGCGGTACGGGAGTAGCGCCTGGGAAAGACGACGCGGATAAGAAGCGATTCATCTGGTTGTAAGTTGACGTCGATGCGTCTGTCTCGCGGCTTGGCTGACAAACCATTTACAGTACTAATGCCGGCATCGACATCCGCAACTCCTCCGGACACTCCATGACTTATACCAGGTCGAAAAGGAAGAGCAATAATCCCACATTCCCCGGCAGCGTGCTGCGTGTGAAGAGGGATGAAAAGGAGGCCGACATGCCGAAAGTTATTGCGCTCTGGGAGCACCACACCCACAAGAACTTCGAAATGACGTTCCCGTCCAGCGTGCAGACAGCTGGAGCTGCATGCAAACGCTGTTATGGATTGAAAGCGGCATGTCGCGGCGGGATTCCGTGCGAGCGCTGCGTACGGGACAACAAAAGCTGCGTGCCACAGGACAAGGACGTCGCCGACCACGTCCCCGCCCAGTACTCGATCCGCTAGCTCTGGCAGGTCTCGATTCCGCAGCTTTGGGCGGCTGGTGGTTCAGACTTATTTTCACTTCCCTCATTTTCGACACTGATTTCGTTTCGACCTGGCCGACTGTGCTTACTGCACCTGCTCCGGCTTGCGGTGTTACGGTTGCTCATCTTCCTTGGTGTTGGTTGCGTGGTCGATGGCTTTGAATGGCGTACGCATGCGATGCCAGCCCGATGACTTGACTTTACTTTTCTCTCGATCTCGGTTCTGGCCCCTTCCACGACAGCAGAGAGACCAGGAGCTTCTTCTTCTATTACAAACATCTGGCTCGTGGTCCTTTTCCCATTCTTTGATTGTTTTCGACTTGCGGGTTTGATCGGGTTCGGAGTATTTGCTTTTCTTACTTCCTTCGTGTGTCGAGCCAAGGGTAGATGAGCAGCCCATCGATGATTTCCCGTTGGAATGGGTCAGTTCATGGGCGGCGCTTGATGCGACCGCATTCACAACGGCAGATGGAGGTGTAGGTGTGCTCTGGTTTCAGTCAACTGGGGGCATGGCTTTACTGAAGAGACTCTTGGCTTCAGGGAGAGGGAATACCTTCGTAGTTCGGCAGACAATGGCTTGGCTTTTTCCTTCTGCATGTCCGAGAGCTGGTATGGTGCAAAACAATCAGATTCAACTCTTATACAACCTCTTGAGGACCATTGGCTGCATTGTGATGATCAAGACTGTCCTGCTCGAGCCGCTTGAGAAGCAGGGCCGCCAACCTGAACGACTGCCACGCCCATCCGTTGTCGTGTTCCAGCGCCGTCACGGCGGGCTTGATAACGGGTAGAGCGTCGTGCAGCTCACTCCTAACTCGCTCCTTGATTCCCGCTGCGACAACTGCTTAGTGAGGTGTGTGGCACGATGAGGTAGTGGTCAAATGGCAGCTTCACGCTGACTTCTTGACGCATGTTGCGACGGCGGGGCGTGCATGCGCAATACATGCGCAAACGTCGCGCTGGTCGGTGTCGTTCCCCAGGACGACAGGCCATCGATGGACGGCAACTGCAGCGATTGCTTCCGTAAGCATCGACGTTAGTAATCCAGCGCTGCACGGGGTTGGTCGTCGGACAGCATCGTCCTGGTTGCATTGGTGGGGTTCGAGGCGGGATGGTGGGGGACCTCGCGCGCACGGATGGAGGGGTTTATGTAGGTCTTCGTGGGCGGAATTTTTGACAGTTCTTGTTGTACACCCTCGAAACAAGAGCATACGGATGATGAGAGAGCTCGCGAAGCTTGAGGTAACAAGTCGAAGAAGTCTAGGAAAGTGAGACGTGCCCTGCAGGTGTGGATGTTTTGAATATGATATTTATAAACGCGTTAATCTTGCTCAATTTTTATCAATAGGCGCGGTGGCCTAATGGTAAGGCGTAAGTCAAATCAGGTCCATCGTAATTACCCCATATCTAACAGATTATAGGTCGCTTTCCGGAATAGGAAGCATGGCGAAGATTGTGGGTTCGAGTCCCATCCGCGTCGCAAACGAGCTTTTTTGCCCATCTAGGGACCTCGGGGAGGTCCCAGGGGCTTCATTTTGCACCCCTGTATGTCATCTTGCGGTTGTGGGGTCTGGAAGGTAACCCAGAACAAGTTTGAGGTCCAATGAACTGGTGGTTGTGGAGCCTTTTCGAAGTGAGGGTCTGCTCACTATATAGACGCGCGTCGACGTTCCCAGTCCGTGCAGTCTCGCCTCGCGACTCCATGTGCATTTGGAGATAATTTTGATCGTCAGCAGCAGAATCGGACCAGTAAAGATCTTTAAAAGCTTCTCCATATAGCTATGCTCCTGTTGGGTCCCCAAAGAGGGTAGCAAAAGTCGATACTTGTCAGTCTGCCCCTTCAACAGGAATGCTAGGACAACAGGACAACTCCACAAGCTGTAGATTGTTGCCCAGTGTATAGATAAGCAACACGGATCTAGCACTGCCTTGCAATTGCTATGTTTAAAGGGGGCCGAATGTCGTGCTCAACCCCCTTACGCTCACCTGTCCACAACTTTGTCTCTCCAAACCCCCTAATAAGTACTTTGCCTCGTCATGGTGCTTGCCATCCATAGAAATCAATCTGTCGAGGACCACCTATCGCGATCCTTCTAAGACACCCGTTCCGCAATAACTTCAAGCTTAACCTGCGCAAGTCACCGCTATAATCATTCAACTAGGCTCATGCTTCCGATCAACGCAAAGTCTTCCCTTGAGTGCGCCAAGTTTACACTAATTCAACTCCTAGATTAGGGTCCTAGAACTAGAGGATCGTTGTTTGTCTTGCTGTTGTCAAGTGCAGGCGAGGTTCCTGCACCAGTCTTCATGGTCACGTGTCGTCGGAACTTCGGCATCTATAACTCCGACGGCCCCCGGCCATTGGGTTGCGCGTTTGAGCAAGAGCTGCTCCTCGTCCCGAGCAAACATCCATTGCACCTTCACACCACCTCTACCTGAGCTTCTGCGACGCTTCCAAGCAGTCGCATCCACTCGTCTCTTCATTTCCTCTTGCCACACTCGCGACCGCCTTGTCTGGCGCTCTGGAGAAAGGAGAGGACATTCATCGCTGGTTCGACTTCTGTCAAGCCTGCTTTCTGGGTGGAGACGCAAGCTAACCTGCCTCGCTTCCAACTGCAAATCCATAGTTCCCCTCACACTCCCATCATGAGCTCCAGAACCGATTCGGAGGGAGAAATACACGAGCACCGGGTCGACAAGGCAACTAGTTCGGCAAAGCCACCCTCAAGGGGCGTCAGCGTTGACCGTCAATCCAGACCCCGCGCCTCAGTTTCGCTTTCTCCCAGGGGCCCATATGAGAATGGCTCCCAGCGTCACCGCTCTCGCTCCCCTTACAGACCCCGGTCACCGCGTGGAGAAAAACGCCGTCGAGACGACGACTTCTACAGTGACCGTGACCGCCAGGACCCGCGTCGCTTCAAGGTCCGCTACGAGAACAGACGCCCGTACGAGCAAGAGCGTCGCAACCGCGTTTCCTATGCAGATTTAGACCGAGGAGATTCATCGCGACCTGCACCAAGATATGACGACCGCGACCGCAATCGGTACAGAGGACCTCGAAGCCGCTCTCCGCCACCCCGTCCGCACTTGAGAGGTGGACAGCCCGACTATCGCAACGGCCGCCACGACTCATACGACCGAAGAGACTACAGACGTCACGATCGTGAAAAAGGTGCAGATTGGCGCTCACGCGAGCATTCAGGAACCGATAGACCACCTTCGAGGGCCGAGTACCACAATGGCCATGGGCAAGACGCACCAATGCGTGATGCGGAGCCAGAGACTGCCAAGTAAGGAATCTCGTACCTGCGCTTGATCTTCGCTAACAGGTTACAGGCCGTCTGAACAGCAAACTCAGGATGAAGCACCTACTCAACCTGAGCCTGAACCCGTTGATGAAGCGGCCTTGATTGAAGAGCGCCGTAAGCGGCGAGAGGCTATCAAAGCTAAGTACAAGGGTCAATCCACGCCTCTGCTTGTTCAAGCCCTCCATTTGGGCAATGAATCGAGTCCAGCTACTCCTCAAGACGAGAGCTCGGATAGCCGCCCGCCGAGATCAGGTCAGTACATGGCGCGAGAACGACAAACATGCGCGCTAACTTCTGCAGTCTCCCCTATGGCGACATCGCCTGCCACTCCAACCGATGGCTCGAATCCCGGTTCCCCGCCAGACGTCCAGGTGCAACAGGATGAGGACCTTGCAAATCGCAGGCGCGTCGAGGATAATCCGACAGATAGGGATGAGCCGTCGGCGGCCGACTACGACCCGACTGCTGACATGAACGAGGATAGAGCTCGCGTCGAGCAACAGCAGCATGTTCGAGATGCTCACCAAGAGACTGAAGCCCAGCAAAATGTGCAGGAATCGTCGCCAAAAGACCAAGAGGCCCCGAAGCCCAAGCGCAAGGACGAGTTCGACATGTTTGCCGAAGATGACGATGATGACATGTTTGCTGAGGAGCCAGCTTCCAAGCCTGTCACCAACCAAAGCGAGTCCGGCAAAGCACCGCAGGTGAAGAAACTGGACAGTAGCATGCTTGATGTCTGGGACGACCACCAAGGCTACTACAAGGTGATCCAAAACGAGCTGCTCGATGACCGCTACGAGGTCCAGTCCAAACTCGGCAAGGGTGTGTTTTCCGAAGTTGTGCGCGCCAGGGACGTCAATACCAACACCCTCGTGGCCATCAAGATTATTCGCAATGACGAGATCCTCAGAAAGGCTGGAGTCAAGGAGATTGAGATGCTCGAGAAGCTGGCAGATCATGATCCAGACGACAAACGCCATTGCATCCGCATGCTGCGCTGGTTCGACCACAAGCATCACTTGTGCATGGTCTTTGAGCACTTGAGCGTCAACCTTCGAGAGGTGCTCAAGAAGTTTGGTCGTGACGTCGGACTCAATCTGAAAGCTGTCCGCTCTTACGCGCAGCAAATGTTTGTCGCTTTAAGCTTGTTGCGCAAGTGCAACATTGTCCACGCTGACATCAAGCCCGACAACATGTTGGTCAATGACACTCGCAACGTCCTGAAGATTTGCGATCTTGGTTCCGCCATGGATATTTCGGAATGCGAAGTGCCGGCCGGCTTACTGGTGAGTCGTTTCTACCGTGCGCCTGAGATCATGCTTGGTATTCCACACGACTATGGCATCGATACGTGGGCCATTGGCTGCACACTCTTCGAGCTTTACACAGGCAAGATCCTCTTCACCGGTCGTGACAACAACCAAATGCTTCGGTCCATTCAGGAATGCCGTGGCAAAATGAGCATCAAGTTGCTCAAAAAGGGCTGGGCGGACTACGTTTACGAGCACTTTGATGAAAATCTCAGCCTCTTCAGGAGTGTGGAAACGGACAAAGTCACAAACAAGGTAAGCAACATATCCATCTTGGCCAGAGCTTTCGCTAATGACGTGACAGGATGTCGTCCGAATGGTCAACTTCACCAAGCCGACTAGGGATCTCAAGTCGCGTCTGATTGGGAGCTCCAAGGGACTAACAGATGCTGAACTCAAGGAAGTCAACCTATTCCATGACTTGCTGGACAAGTGTCTTTCTCTGAATCCGGAGAAGCGCATTACTCCATACGAAGCTCTGCGCCATCCGTTCATTCACCGGGTCAAGCCTTGAATAAGGCTGAATCTTTCTTTCAGTTGTATCATAGTTGGGTATGCGAGGTGCACGGAAGGAGTCAACAAGGTCGATTGAGGTGCAAGAGGAGGCGTTGATGAATTCGGAGTCCGGGGAAATGCGTAGCACACTACGGCGGTCGACTCGAACACACTTTTCATGGCATGGGATTGGGTAATCGGAGCGCAAGAACTTGCTACTAAAACACAGGTAGCTTCAAATGGATAAGAAGTATGGTTTCCGAGACATGCTAGAAATGCTCTTGGAGTAATTGCATCGTGGCATCAACATGGTCAAGTCGGTCCCAAATTCATTCAGTCGCATTGCCCAGCATCTTTCCAGACTGCCTGCTTGCCGCGCATGAAATTCACAGCAACTTTGCGCCCCGCAACAATCCCTCTGCGCTTCGCCCATACGATGCTCGTGTCAGCCAAGATAAGGTAGCAACCACGCACTTGCCAGCTGTGCAGCTCTCGGTCGCCCAACCACAACCCAACCTTTGTTCGTTGCTACGGATCTCTTAAATGATGACTCGATAGACGCTATAGTATAGTTACGGATGCTTGTTTTGAGGTGGCTTGGAATCTCGAGAAGTCATAACAACATTGCCTATGACCAAGGAGTCTTCAGACTCACTGACTGTTGGGCTGCAAGTGATGACAGCAGACGTCCTTATGACAAGCCACGCATATAGAGATGTGGTAGGATACGCAGGGATCTGATTTGGATGCTTTGACCACGTTGGAGAGCCGAGCGTCGCTCCGACTGCAGAGAGAGCACACGCTCCAGGGTTGAGTTGAGCTATGGTAATGGTGTTGTTGAGTTTCGACTTGCTCCGGTCAAGGAGCCTGTGGGATGGCGTGATCGATTTGGAATGTGACGCACCGAGAGTGAATCAGTGATTGAGATCGGGGGAGACGTGATGTTTGCTTCTCTGGAAAGTCGCTATGGCTTGTAAGAGGGGTTGAAAGAATAGTTGATGATAAGGACGAGAGACTTCCGTACAAATTGACCGATGCTTCCTCGTCTGGTCTAGAATATCCACCGCTTCTCAACCACCTCCTCCGGCTTGATGCTCAAGTCACACCAAGACATAAACACGTTCAACTAAAGAAGCCCACCTCTTCACAGCCCCCCATATGCAGGGACCTGTCAAGCAGCGCTATCCAGGCTAAAGTTAGTAGCGGCAGCTCCTAATGTACAAGCTTAGCCAATCAGGGCATCTAAATCCCAACCATGACGGGTCGGCTGTACACCTACCGCCGCACCCGTGGGGTGGGATTCACGTCGACGGAGAGCCAAAAGGTTGCTCAGAGCCAGGTCGTAGGGTCTCGTCACAGCCTCAGGG